CAGCACGTCCTTAGCCCGCCATGCTCGGCCACGCCCCCTCTTTCAGCAGTTTTTTTGAATGTCATAGAAAGACATTGTGAAATAATAGATTTTTTTCTATCTATGACACGTGATTGCTATAGATTTCATTATGATGCTGACCTACAAATCATGGGAATTTTAGCAATTAAATGTACAGTGATCATTCAGGAATCAATACACTTTACGGACAGTTCTAGTGATGAATTTATCCTTATGACTGTTCTAAGGAATATTCAAAATGTATTTTTGTGATTTTGGCTACATATTAAAAGGTGTAATTTAAAGTCTTGCTATTTATCAAAGTAATTTTACTTTAGATGGCTAATGTGTTGAGCTCACAAATGTATGAATGAGGTTAGATGTTCAGCCATGCCTTTAGAGGAATGTATTGTTGGATTTTACAAGACAGTGTTAGCTTTTTGCTTTTGTTGGCCTTGCTGTTTATGAGGACTCTGGATTTCTTTAACCCTGAACTGATTGGTTATTTTTAGGGGAACCAAGTGCTCCAAAGTTGACAGGCCGTGTTGGAGATGATGGAAACTCATTTAAAGTTGTCTTGATCAAGCAGGATGATGGTGGCTCCCCTATCCGCCACTACCTTGTCCGTTACAGAGCTGTAAGTGTCTTTCAGTAATTGTTCTACAGTTGTCTAATAATCTTGAAGTTCTATATGGATTTTCTTTTATTTGGTTTTTGATTAAAGGAGTTTTTCATTCTAATGTCCCAACTATAAATATTAGACATGTGCACTGCCAAAAAATTTGTTTAGTTTCGTTTCGTTTTAAATTCGGATTTGTGTTATTTCGTTTTTCGGGATTCGGGTGTGAAAGTCAATTCGGATTCGGAATTCGGATTCGCACGAAATTCGTTAGCGGTAGTTCGTTCGCACGTTCGTTTCTTTTTCGTTTCTTATTCGTTTCGTTCGCAACAAAGTGACATTTGAGGAGGAAAATGATTTTCTTCAACGAACGAAACAAATAAGAAACAAACGTTCGAACGCTCTACCGCTACCGAATTTCGTAAACGGAAATTCGGATTCGTTTGCATTCGTTATATCTGTAATTCGGAATTCGGATACATCCGAATTTCCGAAAATTCGTCCGAATTTAGATTCGGAATGAATCGAATCGCACATGTCTAATAAATATGCTATTCATGTTGTGTTTAGGATGCACCTACATATAGTAAATGCCCATATCCCTTATCAGATAAAGGCCAAGTGGCCTTTTTAGTCTACTAATTTATTTGATTTTTGTTGTATTATTATACCTGTCCAAGGGTTGTGCAGTACTTTTTATATTTGATTTTACTTTAACAACTAATGCTAGTCTTTTTGTTAGAGGCCAAATAGTTCAGGATGTCTGTACAGTATCGAATGTAGGCATCTTTCCAACAAAAGCATCTTGGTCTGTGTTCCGTATGTTGTGTCTGTCAGTTTATGTTATCTTAATATTTTTGTGACACATTGAGGATGCATTAGCATTTGGAGTTTATGTATGACCTCAAACTTAATACTTTCTATGCTGTTTATTTGGACCTTAAATATCCTCCTCTGGTTCTTCTTTAGAAAAATTCCCTGGACTGGAAACCTGAGATTAAGATAGCATCAGACAGTGACCACATCATGCTGCGATCTCTAGACTGGAGTGCTGAGTATGAGGTTGTTGTGGTAGCTGAGAACCAGCAAGGAAAGTCAAAGGCAGCTCTCTTCAATTTTAGAACCACAACAAAGCCCACAGTTATTCCAGGTACCTTTTGTATTTCAATGTCCGCATCCCTTCTGCTTAACCATTAACGCAACTAAGCTGCTTCTTTCCTAATATGCCTGAATATACCCTTGACTAGCTGCTTGCTTACATCCAGCCTTAAAAACTGGTCTTGCATGCACAGCCTGCGTTGTGCTTGGACCGTGTGATGATGCTGAGCGTGAAATGCATTATGTTGACTATCACCATACCTCATCATCTTAACCACAAAATGAAAGTTCAGCTCAGGACACTAGATACTTGGCATTTGGTTATATTGGTTTAGATTAAGCAAGCTGACCACTCTTTGTAGACTTGTTGATTTTTGGTACACTATATTACAATTGAGGAATTACATGTATACCAACTAATGCTAAAGTATATTTTGTAATGGACAGTTAAAAAGCCGTAGTTAAGTGGACCAAAGAACCAGTAAACTAAATATGCAGGTTATATTGCTATGATGGTGCTGCTTATACTATTAACAACTATGTGTGTAACTGGAATTGTTTGGTATTGTTCTGCCCTTACTGTAAGATCAGTCTGTTGCCTCATTTACTTAGGGTGCCTTACTTAATAAGGTGTTGGATACAAAGACTGTGTTTGTGCCCCAGAGCATGTGCCTTTTCTCTTTTATTTTTGTAATGTCTCTATAAATAATTAAAGAGAAACCTGGCTGTTATGATACATGAGCCACTATATTTGACAAGATTAAGCAAAGACAACTTTTTTGCAGCACATATCACCACATCACTCCACATATCATAACTTCTTATGTTTTCTTCAGTTCTCATAAACTCTTGCAATGGTCGCATATATATGGAACAAAAATATTTTTTATTAATCTTCTATATTTTTTTATTTTTGGCCAGTAGGTGGGGCTCTAGGCTCCTTTTTACAGGGAAACCTGTTGTATGCAGAACTCAATAGCACATTCTTAGATTACACTCACAGCACTATATGAACCACAGGAATTATCCTTATTCTTTTGTCTGTATGTTCTCCTACACACATTTAATACAGAGAGAATCTAGTAGCAAACAGTTATTCTTTAGATTACCAATTATATTTTGTAAAATCATTGTCATGGATGTAGTCTATACACTATTTTTTGTAAAATAAAGATTTTATATCAGTAATAAAAATAAATGTAAGCATTTATTAACTTTAAACAGCAATTAACACAGCCCAAAACAATTATAATTTCCCTACTGGGAGTCAGTAAGTGGGATGGTGCATCTTTGTCTGCACCCACCATTAATAACTATGGGGTCTATTCACGAAGCTGCCGAAGGATCTGGCCGTAGCTTCGGCCGATGCTTCGGCCCCAGGACCCCTTCGGTTCAGGAGAACCTGAACTCGGCTCAGACGATCCAGATGTTGGATCGGCTGAGTCGAACTCCTTCTGCACTTCGGGTCAGCCGAACATGCTGAGCATGTTCGGCTGATCCGAAGCCACACGAAGCAAGCCGATGTACGGCTGATTTCAGGCGATGTACGGCTGAAATCAGCCGTACCAGCCTGAAGTGAATAGCCGAACAATGTTCGGCTCACTTCACTTCTGATCGGTCATTCACTCGGCTGCCCTCGGCAGCTTTGTGAATAGACCCCTATGTCACATTGTGTAGCATTATCTTCTAAACTTTGCAAACTAGCAATACTGCTAAAGGTCACGCATCTTGTGATGCTTGCACATCAATTTCTGTATCCTTGTGGAGCTCCTTGAATTACAGGCCTAGGTTGTACACAGTGGGGTTGGTTTACTAAATGCAAATAGGCTGTTAACTTTGTAAGTGAATTTGCACGTAGCAGGGGAAGTTTGCCCTTTTTTAGTGAATGAGGGGAAGCTCTTCTGACTTCTATCACCCAATCATGTTCAAGAAAAGTTCATGTTTTTTTTATTTTCTTTGCACATGATTGAGTACTCTTTTCTAAAGTGAAGTTTCACCACATGTACCCAGCAAAGTGCAAATTCCCTTGCAAAGTTCCATGCCCTCTCTGTGCTATGCATATTTCACCATTCAACAGTGCAATGCTAGAACCTCTAATGACAAACTGAAGATTTGCCATTGAACTAGTGTTTAGCGCCCCCCCCCCCCCC